CGGGTAACCCTCCACTCTCCCCCTTATTCCTTTAACCTAGCAATCGCATTCACCTATTACCTATTTTTTTTTTTTTTTCATACCAGTTCTCATTCATACCACCTATTCTGATTGCTTTCTCTGCTCACGATTCTTCCCCCCCTATACTTTTATCTTCACTCTCCAGCTTTCCTATTTTTTTATACACTCCTAATTCTTACATCCTTGGGTCTTTCTTCTTTTTTTTTTTTTTTCTGATCCTTCCTCGATATGATAATGTTGGGCAAATTCACTTGTCCTGTGTCACCTCTGTTTTATATAAGAGCTACGCACTCATCACTCTCACGTATTCTTTTTCCGTCACCTACTTATGCAAGCTCTATGCTCCAGCAATCCTCAAACGTCTCTCATGTCTGCTTCTATTTTTTTTTAAGTTTGTGTTATTTTCCATCAGCTAACCTTTATGACTCGATACATTTGATGTAATATTCATGTCATAACTGCCTCATCATTTTGACTTTTCCTACCTTGTCCTTTCTTGTTAAATCCTTAATAAATTTTCTTGAAAAAAAAAAAAAAGTGTTTCTTGTAGTCTCATGGATCATGGATCAGCAGGCAAACTATTTCTTGTAGTCTCATGGGCCAGCAAGCAAACTGTTGTTCGCAGTCCCATGGGCCAGCAGGCAAACTGTTGCTTGCAGCCCCATGAGCCAGCAGGCAAACTGTTGCTTGCAGCCCCATGGGCCAGCAAGCAAACTGTTGTTCGCAGTCCCATGGGCCAGCAAGCAAACTGTTGTTCGCAGTCCCATGGGCCAGCAGGCAAACTGTTGCTCGCAGCCCCATGAGCCAGCAAGCAAACTGTTGTGCGCGATCCCATGGGCCAGCAGGCAAACTGTTGCTCGCAGCCCCATGGGCCAGCAGGCAAACTGTTGCTCGCAGTCCCATGGGCCAGCAGAAATACTGTTGCGCGCAGTCCCATGGGCCAGCAGGCAAACTGTTGCGCGCAGTCCCATAGGCCAGCAGGAAAACTGTTGCTCGCAGCCCCATGGGCCAGCAGGCAAACTGTTGCGCGCAGCCCCATGGGCCAGCAGGCAAACTGTTGCTCGCAGTCCCATGGGCCAGCAGGAAAACTGTTGCTCGCAGTCCAATGGGCCAGCAGGCAAACTGTTGCTCGCAGTCCCATGGGCCAGCAGGCAAACTGTTGCTCGCAGTCCAATGGGCCAGCAGGCAAACTGTTGCTCGCAGTCCAATGGACCAGCAGGAAAACTGTTGCTCGCAGTCCAATGGGCCAGCAGGCAAACTGTTGCCCGCAGTCCCATGGGCCAGCAGACATGATGTTACTTGTTGTCCCACAGCTCTACATATTAGACTCTTCTGTTTCCTGTTGACCAAAAGACATTTATTCAAAGAATGGAAACTATATGAGTCATCAAGTTTTATCTGCTGTTTGATTGAAGCTACACACCCAGTCTCAACTGGGACTGGACATCTTCCTATTTATGTTGGACACATTCCAACATACCTTGCTTGGGAAAGAGGTCTTACTCCTGGCACTGAGCCACAGTGTCCTGTTACTGAAAGATTGTTCTAGAGACCAATTCCTAGTATCAAGGCACCCCAGCCACAACAAGCAGTCATTCTTCTGTGTGTTCCCTGTGCACCCCAATTGTATCTCGTGTTCCTTCTTCTGTGTGTTCCCTGTTCCCCCCAGTTGTATCCAGTGTTCCTTCTTCTGTGTGCTCCCTGTGCACCCCAGTCGTATCCGGTGTTCCTTCTTCTGTGTGCTCCCTGTGCACCCCAGTCGTATCCGGTGTTCCTTCTTCTGTGTGTTCCCTGTGCACCCCAGGTGTATCCGGTGTTCCTTCTTCTGTGTGTTCCCTGTGCACCCCAGGTGTATCCGGTGTTCCTTCTTCTGTGTGTTCCCTGTGCACCCCAGTCGTATCCGGTGTTCCTTCTTCTGTGTGCTCCCTGTGCACCCCAGTCGTATCCGGTGTTCCTTCTTCTGTGTGTTCTCTGTGCACCCCAGTCGTATCCGGTGTTCCTTCTTCTGTGTGTTCCCTGTGCACCCCAGGTGTATCCAGTGTTCCTTCTTCTGTGTGTTCCCTGTGCACCCCAGTTGTATCCGGTGTTCCTTCTTCTGTGTGTTCCCTGTGCACCCCAGTTGTATCCGGTGTTCCTTCTTCTGTGTGTTCCCTTTGCACCCCAGTTGTATCCAGCAGTTCTTTTTCCCTCCTTCTTCCCTCCCCCTCCATCTCCCTCTTTCTCTACCCCTCCTCCATCTCCCTCCTTCTCTTCCCCTCCTCCATATCCCTCCTTCTCTTCCCCTCCTCCATATCCCTCCTTCTCTCCCTCCTCTCTCCCTCCTTCTTTCCCCCCCCTCCATTTCCCTCCCTCTTTTCTCCCCTTTCCATTTCCCCTCCTTCTTTTCTCCATCCTCCATCTCCCTCATTCTTCTCTCCCCCTCCATTTCCCCACTTCTTTTCTCTTTTCCTTCAAATGGCCTTCAAAAAACAAAATGGCGGCTGGAAGTTCTCAGCAAAATAGCCACAAGTGGCAAGTGAGTATAGTGCAGTATATAGTGGTAATAGAGTAGTTAAGAAGTTTCAGAAGTAGTTCAGAAGTGATCAAGAAGTAGTAGAAGTGATGATTCAGAAGTTTTGATCAGATGTTTTTGAGAAGATAAAGTTAAAAGTTAAAGTTGTTGTCAGAAGGTCAGAAGTTTTTTTCAATTTGAGGTGTTTGGCCTTTTATACCATACAAGTCCTTTGTTCCGAGGGACCTCCCAACAGGCTTGTTGATTGGACGGTTGAGAAGTTTGTGTACCTATAGAGGTTCCTGACCTGTCCACCGGGGACAGTCAGGTACAGTATTTGCTGGTGTCCATTCCGTACCATATAAGTACCCCTTCAGATACAGAAACTGACCCTCTGGGTCTACCAGTCTGTCTCCTAAGTTAAATCTTACATTCCTTGCCATCCAAATTGCTACTCCTTTAGCTCATTTTATTGGAGAGTCTGCATAAAACCAGGTCGGATATTGTCTTGATTGTAATTTAAGCATTGTATCTAGAGATAAATGTGTCTCTTGTAAGAATACTATATCAATTGAGCGTTGCCAAATTTCCCGGGTAATCTTATGTCTTTTAACCGGAGTATTGAAACCTGTAATGGAACCGGACCCCGACTGCACTTGGGTATTTCCATTAGATTACCGCTTCCTCGTCCGAACACCGTCCACGGACACCACCGCTGACCATACAAGACTAGACGAGACCAGTCTTGAAGTAAATCAGGAAATAGACTACTTTATCTTAACAGAGATACAAGATATATACATTCAAGGGAACAAATCCACCTCCCTGCATAATGACACGGGGGGGTCAAACCACATCTAGCAACAAGAGACACATCAGCAGGCACCCGCCCCACCAAGCCAATACACAAACACATACATCCCATAATAGTTTGCTCCCAAGCAAGACACACAATAGAACAATGGGATGCAGCCACATGGCATTAAACAATCAACAACCCCCCCCACCCCAATATTAGGACATTTCATCCTGTACCTCTAACAGGCACAGGGTGACTTACACATAAGAGGGATATGGGGAGCTGAGACAGGGGTCTCCCCACCCCTCCAAAGTGAGCTGGGTTCCATGGGCCCCCCCACCCAAAGTGACTCCTGTCACAAAACCTTTTACATTGTAGGTCATAAAATTAACTACCTTCTTGTCAAACATCTCTTAATACTAAAACCTTTTTTCATTTGGGTCACACAGAGAGAGCAATCTGTATAATAAATTTGGAACCAATAGAGTTTCGAAATACCTCTTTCTGCTCTACCCCCCTTCCCCCCCACACCATCCTCCTGCCTCCTTCGATTTGGCCTCTACCCAGCCCTTGGATCTGTTGTGGATCTAACCCCATCCTCGATCCTTCAGCGGAAGTGGACGACTCTGGCTCAGGGGTACATTTCAGTGAACTCTCTCTACTTGTTTCGGTAACACCCCCGATCTGAACACCTGTGCCACTATCCTGTCAGTCAGGTGTATACTCTGTTCTTCGAGCAAAGAGGGGATCCCTTTTGCCCAGTCAATCAACACCAACACATTGGATGCATCTGGATTGCTGCTGATATCGATGATGCTTCCTTTCTGGTTGTTTATGCGGGCTAACATCTGATAACCTGTTCTTCTGGCCAGTCATCTACGGGAAGGATCAGCACCAGACACTGATTCAATCTCCCATTCTCCTTCTGGAACCAGGAAATGATTTTAGAGGGTTCCATGCAGGGGCGGACTGACCATTTGGAAACTCAGGCACTGCCTGAGGGCCCGGGGTCAGTAGGGGGCCCCATGAGATGCCCCTGGTACCATTTTTATAGGCTTTTTTGAGCTTGGGCAAGGACTACGGGGCCCCTTGATCCCCTATTGCCCGGGGGCCCCACGTGTTGTCAGTCCGCCCCTGGTTCCATGCTTTCTTTCTGGGGTTCACAGATTCTCTGAACAGGGAAATCCCGGACGAGCCCCCACATGTAGCACTACCCCTTAAGAGTTGCTTAGCAATTTTTGGGTTTCCCTATCAATCTGGACATCTTATTGAAAGCCCAACCTCTGAGGACACCACCGTGCTCTGGTAACCCAGATAAATTGTACCTGTAAAATGGACTCACATTTGGTAATATAAACCAAAATTAAGTTTATATTAGACTTTACAGGTAACTGAATCAAGAATAAAGAAACAACTCTGGTATTGGCAGCAATTCTGATCACTCTTGGCAACTGTGAGCAAAAGTGACAACATTCACTGTTAAACAACAGTATCTGTTGGCAAGCCTGCTTTCAGAAATAATCCACTGCCTTCAATACCCCCCACACTCCTCTCCTGTACATAGTGATCACTGACATACCTCCCTACACTCCTCTCCTGTACATACCGATCACTGTCATACCCTCCACACTCCTCTCTCCTGTACGTACCGATCACTGTCATAGCCTCCACACTCCTCTCCTGTACATACCGATCACTGTCATACCTCCGTACTCCTCTCCTGTACATACCGATCACTGTCATACCCTCCACACTCCTCTCCTGTACGTACCGATCACTGTCATACCCCCACACTCCTCTCCTGTACATACCGATCACTGTCATACACTCCTCTCCTGTACGTACCGATCACTCTCATACCCCCACACTCCTCTCCTGTACGTACCGATCCTCTCATACCCCCCACACTCCTCTCCTGTACATACCGATCACTCTCATACCCTCCACACTCCTCTCCTGTACATACCGATCACTGTCATACCTCCACACTCCTCTCCTGTACATACCGATCACTGTCATACCCTCCACACTCCTCTCCTGTACATACCGATCACTGTCATACCCCCCACACTCCTCCCCTGTACATACCGATCACTGTCATACCCCCCACACTCCTCTCCTGTACATACCGATCACTGTCACACCTCCACACTCCTCTCCTGTACATATCGATCACTGCCATACCCTCCACACTCCTCTCCTGTACATACCGATCACTGTCATACCCTCCACACTCCTCTCCTGTACATACCGATCACTGTCATACCCTCCACACTCCTCTCCTGTACATACAGATCACTGTCATACCCTCCACACTCCTCTCCTGTACATACCGATCACTGTCAAACCCTCCACACTCCTCTCCTGTACATACCGATCACTGTCATACCCCCCACACTCCTCTCCTGTACATACCGATCACTGTCACACCTCCACACTCCTCTCCTGTACATACTGATCACTGTCACACCCCCCACACTCCTCTCCTGTACATACCGATCACTGTCATACCTCCACACTCCTCTCCTGTACATACCGATCACTGTCACACCCCCCACACTCCTCTCCTGTACATACCGATCACTGTCACACCCTCCACACTCCTCTCCTGTACATACCGATCACTGTCACACCCTCCACACTCCTCTCCTGTACATACCAATCACTGTCATACCCTCCACACTCCTCTCCTGTACAAACCGATCACTGTCACACCTCCACACTCCTCTCCTATACATACCGATCACTGTCACACTTCCACACTCCTCTCCTGTACATACCGATCACTGTCATACCCCCCGCACTCCTCTCCTGTACATACCGATCACTGTCGTACCCCCCACACTCCTCTCCTGTACATACCGATCACTGTCATACCTCCACACTCCTCTCCTGTACATACCGATCACTGTCATACCCCCCCACTCCTCTCCTGTACATACCGATCACTGTCATACCCTCCACACTCCTCACCTGTACATACCGATCACTGCCATACCCCCACACTCCTCACCTGTACATACCGATTACTGTCATACCCCCCACACTCCTCACCTGTACATACCGATCACTGTCATACCTCCACACTCCTCTCCTGTACATACCGATCACTGTCGTACCCCCCACACTCCTCACCTGTACATACCGATCACTGTCGTACCCCCCACACTCCTCTCCTGTACATACCGATCACTGTCGTACCTCCACACTCTCTCTCTGTACATACCGATCACTGTCGTACCCCCCACACTCCTCTCCTGTACATACCGATCACTGTCGTACCCCCCACACTCCTCTCCTGTACATACCGATCACTGTCATACCCCCCACACTCCTCTCCTGTACATACCGATCACTGTCATACCTCCACACTCCTCTCCTGTACATACCGATCACTGTCATACCCCCCACACTCCTCTCCTGTACATACCGATCACTGTCATACCCCCCACACTCCTCACCTGTACATACCGATCACTGTCATACCCCCCACACTCCTCTCCTGTACATACCGATCACTGTCATACCTCCACACTCCTCTCCTGTACATACCGATCACTGTCATACCCCCCACACTCCTCTCCTGTACATACCGATCACTGACATACCCTCCACACTCCTCCTGTACATACCGATCACTGTCATACCTCCACACTCCTCTCCTGTACATACCTATCACTGTCATACCCCCCACACTCCTCTCCTGTACATACCGATCACTGACATACCTCCACACTCCTCTCCTGTACATACCGATCACTGACATACCCTCCACACTCCTCTCCTGTACATACCGATCACTGTCATACCCCCCACACTCCTCTCCTGTACATACCGATCACTGACATACCCTCCACACACTCCTCTCCTGTACATACCGATCACTGTCATACCTCCGCACACTCCTCTCCTGTACATACCGATCACTGTCACACCTCCACACTCCTCTCCTGTACATACCGATCACTGTCATACCCTCCACACTCCTCTCCTGTACATACCGATCACTGTCATATACCCTCCACACTCCTCTCCTGTACATACCGATCACTGTCATACCCTCCACACTCCACACTCCTCTCCTGTACATACCGATCACTGTCATACCCTCCACACTCCTCTCCTGTACATACCGATCACTGTCATACCCTCCACACTCCTTTCCTGTACATACCGATCACTGTCATACCCTCCACACTCCACACTCCTCTCCTGTACATACCGATCACTGTCATACCCTCCACACTCCTCACCTGTACATACCGATCACTGTCATACCCCCCACACTCCTCTCCTGTACATACCGATCACTGTCATACCTCCACACTCCTCTCCTGTACATACCCATTACTATCATACCTCCACACTCCTCTCCTGTACATACCCATCACTGTCATACCCCCCACACTCCTCTCCTGTACATACCGATCACTGTCATACCCTCCACACTCCTCTCCTGTACATACCGATCACTGTCATACCCTCCACACTCCTCTCCTGTACATACCGATCACTGTCATACCCCCCCCCACTCCTCTCCTGTACATACAGATCACTGTCATACCTCCACACTCCTCTCCTGTACATACCGATCACTGTCATACCTCCCACACTCCTCTCCTGTACATACCGATCACTGTCATACCCCCCACACTCCTCTCCTGTACATACCGATCACTGACATACCCTCCACACTCCTCTCCTGTACATACAGATCACTGTCATACCTCCACACTCCTCTCCTGTACATACCGATCACTGTCATACCCCCCACACTCCTCTCTCCTGTACATACAGATCACTGTCATACCCCCCACACTCCTCTCCTGTACATACCGATCACTGTCATACCCCCACACTCCTCTCCTGTACATACCGATCACTGACATACCCTCCACACTCCTCTCCTGTACATACAGATCACTGTCATACCTCCACACTCCTCTCCTATACATACCGATCACTGTCATACCCCCCACTCCTCTCCTGTACATACAGATCACTGTCATACCTCCACACTCCTCTCCTGCATGTACCACTAGCTAAGACACTTCTCCTTGAACTATTTCTAGTATATATCATCTTTATACAGAAATATGTCAGTGAAACTGATTGTTCTGCATTTCCTCTGCCGTTGTTGTGAAATTTTTCGTTTCTATGCAGTTCTGTTGTCACAAGCAACATATGTTTTCATCACCCCCTGACACGGCTGTGACCCAACGGCGCCACATGAAAATGATGAGTTCCTTCCTTTTTTTTTTTTTTTTTAAATACAATATTTTATTGAATAGCACAAAAATATGGAACAACAAATAATACAATCTTTTGATAAAATATAGAAGGTGGTTGGAGGGCGCAGACTCACATTGTAGTATTATGATGGAACGATTATGCAATCCTTCTCTCTCGAGTCCGAGGGATGCAAAGCTCTCCTTAGCACTGACTATCGCTTAATAGCCCCAAAAAAACCACCCCGAAAAAGCTCAGAAGCATTCTTTTTGCCCCGGATGAGAGGCAAATATGTCCGGGGTAAATGGGGAAGGATGAGGAAGGTAAGATGCTTAGTAGGGCTTTCAGGCACCCAATGAGCTCCTTTTGGCTTGCCATGCCATTTGGCTGTAAAAAGATGGTTTCCCATCGATGGTTGCTTTGGTAGTTTCAGGTTGGTGCTTCATCAGCTCTGGACTTCCTTCAAGACAAGAGATGTTCATACAGAAGTGGTGGTGTGATGGGAGTCACTTTGGGTGGGGGGCTATGGAACCCAGCTCACTTTGGAGAGATGGGGAGACCCCTGTCTCAGCTCCCTATATCCCTCTTATGTGTAAGTCACCCTGTGCCTGTTAGGGGTACAGGGTGATCTGTCCTAATATTGTGTAGACATGTCTAGGAGATAGGTGGGGTGGGTTTGTTGATTGTTTAATGTCATGTGGTTGCATCCCATTATTCTATGGTGTGTCTTGCTTGAGAGCAAACTATTATGGGATGTATGTGTTTATGTGTATTAGCTTAGTGGAGGGGTGTCTCCAGCAGTCCTCCCTCCTAATGGGACTGTCTGCTGGTGTGAAGCTTGAATACCTGTGTGTTTCTTGTAACTAAATGTAGATTGCCCCGCCCTTATGCAGGGAGGGGGGATTGTTCCCTGAGTGTATATATCTTGTATCTGTGTTCAAATAAACTAGTCTACCTCTTGGTTTACTTCAAGACTGGTGTCGTCTAGTCTTGTTGGTCGGCTGTGGTGTCTGTTGGCGTTCGGACGGGAATTCGGGCCGTATTCTAACGGAAGTACTCAAGCGCAGTCTGGGTCGGCTCCGTTACTGTTGGCGTACAACCAATCAGGGACTCCCAGACTGACTGAGATTTACACTTACCCATCTGGAAAGGCAGGGACCTGATATTTCTCTGCTGGAATTCAGGAACACATGCAGGTCTTGTCCCCAACCTTGGGATTGGATAATGAAAAAGAAAGAAGAGCTCTTACTGGAAGACAAAGAGGGAGAAAAAGCTGCTTTATATTAGCAAGCATCACTCATTAACTGGTTTCGTGTTCACAGGGCCATGGATTAGGGGGTACCACCAGTCCCCCTGTACGGGGCCCAGGCCAGCATGGGGTCCCAGGCAGCTGTGGGTAGAAAGGGTGAACGGGGAAATTACTGGAGATTTCAGGCACCCAATGAGCTCCTTTTGTCTTGCCGTGCCATTTGGCTGGAAGAATGTGGTCTCCCATCGATGGTTGCTTTGGTAGTTTTAGGTTGGCACTCCATCAGTTCTGGACTTCCTTGAAGACAAGAAATGTTCATACAGAAGTGTTGGCGTACAACCAATCAGGGACTCCCAGACTGAGATTTACACCGACCCGTCTGGAAAGGCAGGGACCTGATATTTCTCTGCTGGAATTCAGGAACACATGCAGGTCTTGTCCCCAATCTTGGGATTGGATAATGAAAAAGAAAGAAGAACCCTTACCCAAGGACAAAGAGGGATAAAATGCTGCTTTATATTAGCAAGCATCAGTTTTCACTAGACTCATTAACTGGTTTCCTGTTCACAGGGCGTGGATAAGGGGGTACCACCAGTCCCCCTGTACGGGGCCCAGGCCAGCAGGGGGGCTCAGGCAGCTGTGGGCAGGAAGGGTGAATAGGGAAATTACCGAAACCAATCCCCTTTATGACTCTTCCTGCAGCAGTTGAAAGCTGGGTTCTTCTCCTCTCCCCCTCCCCCCAGCTGGCTTTCAGCTGCCACAGAGAGAAACATACAGGGGATCGGTTCCAGTAATTTATCAGCCCCTTCCATTCCAGAATGAACACAGTGAGTGATTGTTACCGATCACTCACAGTGTTCATTTATAACTGAAGCACAGTAAACTGTGTTTTTTTGTGGGGATGGGGGGCCCTGTTAGGTTGGCTGTATGGGGCCCTGTGGTTTGGGGTTGGCCCTGTCAGGTTGGCTGTATGGGGCCCTGTGGTTTGGGGTTGGCCCTGTCAGGTTGGCTGTAAGGGGCCCTGTGGTTTCTAACAGGAGCCCTACTTGTTCAGACAAAACCTTGGGTCCGGTGTGAACAATTTACGATTTAAAATCCCTCCAGTGAATAATACCTCTTCAACTCCTCTGATCTTACCAAACAAACACTAGGTCTATGGGGCAAGGTCATCTCATCCTCAAAAATGCCTGCATAGATTGGCCCCATGACCCCTTTGTTTGGTAGCCCTTCCTTTCCACCAACCATATATACACTCACCGGCCACTTTGAGGTCCACCTGTTCAATTAATAGTGACACAAATTGCTAATCAGCCAATCACATGGCAGCAACTCAATGCATTTAGGCATCTAGACGTGGTGAAGGCGACTTACTGAAGTTCAATCCGAGCATCAGAATGGGGAGAAAGGGGATTTAAGTGACTTTGAACGTGGCGTGGTTGTTGGTGCCGGACGGGCTGGTTTGAGTATTTCAAAAGACTGCTGATCTACTGGGATTTTCACGCTCCACCATCTCTAGGGAGATCGAAACTCATCAAACTAGGTAACGTTTTTCCAATCTTCTATTGTCCAATTTTGGTGAGCCTTTTTGAATTCTAGCCTCCATTTCCTGTTCTTAGCTGTCAGGAGTAGCACCCGGTGTGGTCTTCTGCTGCTGTAGCCCATCTGCTTCAAGGTTTGATGTGTTGTGCATTCAGAGATGGTATTTGGCATACCTTGGTTGTAACGAGTGGTTATTTGAGTTCCTGTTGCCTTTCTATCATCACCAACCAGTCTGCCCATTCTCCTCCGACATCAACAAGGCATTTTCCTCCACACAACTGCCGCTCACTGGATATTTTCTCGTTTTCGGACCATTCTCTGTAAACCCTAGAGATGGTTGTGCATGAAAATCCCAGTAGATAAGCAGTTTTTAAATACTCAGACCAGCCCGTCTGGCACCAACAACCATGCCACGTTCAAAGTCACTTAAATTTCTTCCCCATTCTGATGCTCGG